GCAGTGGGGGAGGTTTAGATTGGATATTAGGAAAAACTTTTTCACTAAGAGGGTGGTGAAACACTGGAATGCGTTACCTAGGGAGGTGGTAGAATCTCCTTCCTTAGAGGTTTTTAAGGTCAGGCTTGACAAAGCCCTGGCTGGGATGATTTAACTGGGAATTGGTCCTGCTTCGAGCAGGGGGTTGGACTAGATGACCTTCTGGGGTCCCTTCCAACCCTTATATTCTATGATTCTATGATACTAGATAATCAATCTCGCACAACAGCCATTTAAAAAAAAAAAAGTATTAATGCAAAGCTTTACAAGCAACATCTCTTGAAGGGATGTGTTTTTTCCTGTAGGTGGCATGAACATATCATACAATTACCACCTGATAAGTCTTTTGCAGCTTGGAGACTGTTTGACAGGTTGGGGATTTTGCAGTAGAGTTTTAAGCATTGGGAAAGCTTGGTGCCAAAGGGTTTATTAACCAACATCACTGGGCTTTTTGTTAGGTTATTACAAAACAAACTATAAAATTCCCTTTGCTGTTGTCCAAGAGTTGAGTTGTTGCTTTTCTTCTTTTTCCTTGAAAGGACGTGGCTAGCCTGGTAAGTGGTAACCACACCTCCTTTATAATACACTGAGTCACAAGTTTTAGTCACTGAGATAGAAAAATTCTATTGTCTGATAGCCTGAAACAACCAAAATCCAGACCTGTAACAAGTAATAGAATAAATTACTGTCCTAGACAAAGCTGCTTTCCTGCACCAAATAATCCTGGGATAATTGACCAGTGAGACCAACTGATTTTGTTTGCTTGTAAACAGCACTGAACTGAATAAAATAATCAATGACTTGCTAAATCCCTTCTCTTGCTCCATTCGGTCAGCAGCTCCCTGCCTAATTCTTCACTTTGGAAAGAGTACACATGGCTAATTACACAAGGCCACCAAGTTATCTTCCATGTCTCCATACTTGATAGCTAGACTTGAGACAAGTTACCATTTAAAAAAAATGTTCGTAGCAAATCATCATATTCATGCGGACATTGGATTATCCTCAGGGGTAGGCACCGGGATGCCTCAAAGAAAGTTACACCTGCACTTCACATTAATAAAGCAAAAGAACAAATAAGCAGCATGTTCCCCAGATTACCCTACTGGAAACTTTCAATAGACTCCATTAAAATCATTCAGGTAGTCACTGCTGGCCTCTGGTAGTTCTTACTGGAGGATCAACTGCCCCAGGAACTAAAAGACTCTATTCCAAACCTATACCCTAACTCAGCAAAGCACTTAAGCATACACAGAACTTTAAGCAAGTACTTTACTGAATAGGGGTGCTTTGCTGAATTGGATCCCTAGTTAACAACTGGAACTAGTAGGAACCAACTGAACATTTTCAACTGGTAGTAGTAACTGGCGATGCCAGGACTTACTCTGCAAGTTCAGGTTTCAGAGTAACAGCCGTGTTAGTCTGTATTCGCAAAAAGAAAAGGAGTACTTGTGGCACCTTAGAGACTAACCAATTTATTTGAGCATGAGCTTTCGTGAGCTACAGCTCACTTCATCGATGAAGTGAGCTGTAGCTCACGAAAGCTCATGCTCAAATGAATTGGTTAGTCTCTAAGGTGCCACAAGTACTCCTTTTCTTTCTGCAAGTTCAAATATTTTTAACTCATTAAATGAGGAGGGAAAATCGGCCCCTTTAAGTTTATGTTCAGTTGATGTTGTCTGCATGCAGTATTAAAATCTGGATTTAGGTGCCCAGGAGCAGATGCCAAGGTTTGAAAATGTTAGCCTTTCACCTCTCTGGGCCCCAGGTTCCCCACCTATTAAATGGTGCTAACAACATGTCACAGCAGTGTTGTGAGGCTTAATTAATTAATGTTTATGAAGCATTTTGAAACCCTGGGCTGGAAGGAACCGTATAAATGCAAAAGTATTGTGTTAATGACATAACTCCAAGATGTGAGATAGGTTATGGGAAATGGTAATGGGACACTCCTCAAGTGCCTCCTGTTGCTGCATGCAGTACTGCAGGCCTTTTTCTGCAACTGGAGCCCCCTGTACGTTGCTGACCTTTCTTGGTGGGTCTTCAGTGCCTTGGCCCTATGGTCGGGTCACACAGTCAAAAAGGAACCCCTTCTGGGGTAGCAAAAAGCCCAAACTGTCTGCCCTTGCCAGGGGTCTTCAGCTGCAGCTCTAGGGCCTTTAAATTCAGTCCTTTGCTTGGGCTTCTAAACGAGCCTTGTCTTCTTCTCAGGGCTTAGGTCACTTCGCCAGTGGCTGGTTAAGGATATCTTAAGGTTCAGGTTCAGCAGGTTTCTGTACTGTTTTGCCCACAGCTGTTAGTACCTGGCTTAGCAACACCTGCTTTTGTTCTTTCTGTACCCACACTGTTGCATGGATGTCATTCAGTATGTTAGGATCATTTTTAGTCTTCCTTTTTCCTCTGGGGAAAGCTCTTTTTAGTTGGGGTCCGGCTGTGGCCTTGCCTTACAGCCTTGTTGTGTTCCTGTGTCATCTGAGCTAGGGCGGGGCAGCTCTTAATCTCAACTGTTTGAGGCCCCTCGCGGCTCAAGCTATCCTTCAGGGTGGAACCACTACAACTCTTTTCTAAGTGTAACCCACACAACTCCTGGGTGTGGTGTTCTGTCCCTTCGAGTGGCACCGGGACCACTTAGAGCTTAATGAGTCTGCTACAGCCTTAGCTAAGAGCCATGTGGCTTTTAGCTCATGTAGTAGAGGCTTATGCATTAAGCTCCAGAGATTCCAGGTTCAATCCCGCCCGATGACAACCAGAGTCTGTCAGTGTTACATAAGAATGGCTCCTTCAGGCTCTCCAGCTCTTTACCTTTATCCATGCTGGACCTGAAGCAAGTTGGACCTTAAGTTCTGGAGCTTAGTCTGCTCCTTTGCATCATCAAACACTTGTTCTCCAATCTCTTTTTTCAATTCTGGCCAGGTCCTGTTCCCATTGTATAGCTTGAGCTCACATCCTGTCTCTTGAGGAGTACATCCCTTCGAGTTCTTGCAAGTGCTCAACCCTTTGGGCCTGTAGGATATTGAATTGAGCCATGAGTTCCTCTTTGAACCTGTCTTCTACTTTTCTCCATTCCAGTAGGGGTTGGGTTTGTTGAGTGGTGTAAAGGCTATAGTCTACACAATCTCTGTATTGGTGGCTGTTGATATTATATCTGTCACTGTGTGGTGAATCCACACACTTATACCATCTTCCCAGCTGCTTGAATCCTTACTCCGTTTGCTTGTGGGAATACAAGCTTTCTGGTCAACGGTCACCATGCTTGTGTGCTTATCACACCTCTCTGCCCTCTTCTGGACCATCAACCTCAGTCTTCTCATTTCCTCCATTTGTTCCAGGAGGTGGTTGTTGGCTTGGATGTTGAGGTCATCCTGCTGTCCTGTGACCATCTCCTTCTTGCTCCATTGTTGCTGTAGCTCCCATCTGAGCACTGCGTTTCAGTCTTGCAAACTCATTGGCTGGGTCTCCAACATCTGAATCTGGGTCTGAAGTGTTTGCAGAGCCTCCGCATGTTCATTAGGCTACCTCTGTAGCTGGCCCTGCACCTCAGAGACATTCCACATAACTGTCTGTAGAGTCTATTGTAATTTCAGGTTCCAAAATTGCGGAGATTTCCGCTCATCTGTCCCCTTCTGGATCACCACAATCTCGGCCTTGCTGTCACTATGAAGAGCTTCCTTCTATATGTATAGTTGTGAGAAACTCTTGCTTCCTTTTTAACTCTTCAGTGAGCGTGACTAGCTCTTTTTGGAGCTAGGAGATCTCAGCCTGCTCTGTTACCTGCAGACTTTTCAGTTGCTCCTTTAGCAGCATCTTTTCCTTTTTCTCACTCTCCCATTTTAAGTTCCTCCTGTTTCAGCTCAGTCATCTGCTGCTCCAGGGCAAGCATGAGCCTCTCTGTGTCCTGAGCTTCAGCTACTGCCTTTCCCCATTTCTTGTAGTGAGAGTAGCAGTTCTTCTCCAAAAGTAGCAGATGTTCCACCTCCTTCTGTCTGTTTTCTAGATGAGCAATTGCCTTCTCAAGGCCTCTGTTCAGTCTGGCTCCTTCACACATATGCTCTTTGAAGTGGTCTTTCTCTGCCTCCACCTGGGTCTTGAGACTCCATGTCTGGCACCACTCTTCTTGTAAGAACTCTTGTGCTCTCTGTGGACAGCCCCCCAGTATCCACAGGTATGAGAAACTTGCTGTCCACCTGGCTCGGCCTTCCTGAGCCACCATTCATACTGGGGGTGGTGGGGGGGAGGGTTACTTGTCCTCACCTGTCCAAAACGTTTTCTTTGCCAAGTAGAAGTGTCTTAACTTCATTGGCCAGCACAGAATAATAAACTTTCCTCTACCTGCTTTGTTCACGCTGTGAAGTCATCTCCTCCAGCAATGCCTGGGAATGTGTCTGTAATTCATGGATCTGTGCTTTCTGCACTTATAGCCAACTAGCCAATTCTAGGCAAAAGTCCTTCACCTGAGCCTGCATTAAAGACTGAGGCAATCAGATTCTATGGTAATGGGGGCAGGATGCGTACTTAAAAGGGACAGAACACAACAGCCTTTCCTTGTCTTCCCTGGCCAGTCCTGGGCAGTATCGTCTCACCTAAACTGATTTTTTTTTCATGGTGATTAAACACAATTAAATTTTCTAGTTGAGATTAACTTAATCGAACCAAGATCAAAATGCTGATGTATTCTGATCTCCTGTTATAATAAAAGACTTAAGGCGTGAGAAACATCCAGAGCTGACAGGACGAATTCCATTCCTACATATTCCTTCCATTCCTGTTGTTGGCAATACTGGGAGCTAAAATGCTGAAATAAACCTTTTGTTTGTTTTTTTAAATTCTTCATTTGTTAAAATCTGTCATTTTCTGTTTTTATGATGTGCTAATGGATCCCTGTTTTTAGCCAAGTTATTAAAATTCCTGAGGCTTTGCTAGACCCTACTGGGTGGCTTATATATTTTATTTTCCTTTTACAGTGTGTAAAGGATTTTTGGATAGATTTTACAACTCATTAAAAGAAAAACATTCTGACTTCACTGTGGCCACCATAGAGAGAGAACTGGTTAACAGCTGCATGGATACAAAAGGAAAAGAACACCGCTTGGTACTCATCTCTTTTGTCTTTAAGTTCATGATGCTTTGAAAAAAAAATACTGATTAGATGAGATAATATTGGTTAATCTGCACTGTCATTTAGTATTGACCTGTAGGGCACTGGTTCAAATCCAGCTACGTCAACAGTGGCTGAAAATTATTACCAACTGCTAGCTTAGGTAAAATAAGTTTGAAGGTTTTTGATTAATTTCAGGTGTATAAGTGTCCACATTATTAAGACCCTGATCCAACACTCTTTGAAATTAATGGGAATCTTTCCCTTCATTCATTGGGCATTGGATGGGACCCCAAATGCACCACCACAATCGGCATTAGTTAGCATCCTTTTGGGCAGTTTAGCTAAGAGGGCAAGGCGGGGGACTGAGCTGCCCTTTCGTTCCTAGAAGTGATCCCTCCAGATCAAAGCTGGTGGGACCATGTGGGAGAGGTTTGCCCTGCTGCCACCCATGATATACCTGTTCTGTGGATAAACAGATGATTTCTGTTTCCTGGGCTCAGGGGTAGCACTAATCACAGGCCTACACCCTACAGTTCGATGGGGACACCACATATTTCAAGCCTGTGGCAGGTGCTTCTCAGTATTACTGTGCTGTGTCCTGCACAGCACTGAGTAAGTAGAAGAGCTGTCATTGTGCAAGGATGTGGGCTAAGGCTGCAGAGACCAAAGGCCACTAGGCACCCTCCATTTTGGAAGTGGGGGCCTCTGGACTGCAGAAGAGACTGGGGCTGGCGGAAGCCTACTGCAGTATCTAACTTTTATGTTATGTTATGTTAGTTTTTAAAGCCAAGTTCTCCTGCCATGCCTTAATGCTGAGTCCCTCACAATTCAGAGGCTTTTCAGCTGTTTCCCAGTGTTCGCTGGGGAGAAAAAATGCCCTTCATTCTTCTTTCTGCTCTGCTAAGCAGCCAAGTGATGATAAGGAGTGGTAGAGGAATCACTGAGCCCCATAGGGAAGAGCTTCTGGGCAGGGCACAATGCTGCAGTGCTATTCAGCACCTCACCAGCCTGGCTTTAGGCTAGTGACAGTCCCGATGAGAGCTGTGGTGTCTTTAGCTTTGTTATGCACAGGTGGTCTGTATTCTGCCACTTTAAATCTTTAAGGACCGCTGTTTGCAAAGACTGGCAGCCATTTTGTTTTCAGTTCACTGAAGACTGTTAAACGACACACCCACACTGCATGGTCACACAATGGCGTCACTGTGTCCTCTCTTGTTTCGTTAGCCTCCTAGAGCCAGGTTTTGTTATTATTTGTATTACTGTAGTACCTACACTGCGTAGGAGCATGTCATGGACCAGGACCCCATTGTGCTAGGTACCGTACAAACCCAGAACAAAAAGACTGTCCCTGCCCCAAAGAGTCTGCGGTCTAAATGTAAGACAAGAGACAACAGGTGGATACAGACAGACAGATGGGGGAGCACAAGGAAGCAAGAAAACTGTCTTGGTCAGCATGATGGGCCATGTCCTCAGCACACCAACCGCCTAACCATTCTCATGCTGAATAGTACCCCATATGCCAAGTAGTTCTGTTTTCCTCACTGAGACTATTCAACATGAATAAGGGTGGCAAAATCTGACCCCTAATACAAAACAAAGGTCCTTCTGATTGAAAGTATCTATTTGCTCTCTGCCTATTGAAAGACGTAACAAAAATGGGCCATTGTTTTCCATCAGATGCACCCCATTCTAGAAGGTGTTATGATGAGATGGAAATGTCCCATTGGTAACAAATTATGATTGATTGTGTTAACAGGGTGATATAATTCATGTCCTGGAGACAGTATTTCATATTGTCAGTGGCTTATTTAATAACAATACTTTGTACAAAGTAGTAATCAGAGTCAGAGGAATCTGTTATTTGCACAAATCTGTTATTTGCACAATAACAGCTTCCAAGCTGCCTCATATATAAGGTACATCAAACACAAACACACCTCGTCTCCTGTGAGATGTGCCAGACCTGCAATATCCCAGCATTCCACCAAGCATAACAAAGCATCCATTTAACACACCACTACGGGGAAGGTCTTTCTGTCAAAAGAGGAAGTGGTAGGAGTCTGAGTTTTAGGGTACAATCCTTCAGAGTGCTAAGCATCTTCAAATCCCATCAACTTCAATGGGAGTTGGAGGTATACAGTACTTCACGTGAACCCCTCAGCAGTTGGCAGGAGCCACTCCCGGTTTTCTCTTAGTGCTGATGATGTGTCCTGCTTGTTTCAGTGCTATTACATTGGGGCAACAAGCGATGCAGCCACGAAGATCATCAGCGAGGTCAGCCGCCCAATGAGTGCTCATGTGCCTGTGTCGAAGATATGCGAGAAACTGAAGAAGAACGACATTCAGATCTGTGAGCTCAAATATGGTAGGGCCAGAGTCTGGAGTAAACTGGTGGGCCTAGAGATCTAGTTGCATTCTGTACCTACTTATTATCCCCATGAATCCCCATTGGCTCCTGCCTACATACCATATTCATTGTCAAATGGGTTGTAGAGAGGAAAATAAATAGGTTTGTACTCTTTTTGCTTCTCAGAAATTAGGAGAGAAATGCCCTCCCCCAGTTAGAAATATCAGGAGCATTAAGTCTTGTCTTCACTATTTTTGCTGGAGGATTCTTTGGCTGGCTTAAGTATGTGGGTGGGCACTCTCTCAGCCCTTATGTGAAGGGGCAGTTATGTGGAACTCTTTAAAGAGAGAGCTTTTTTGCATGTGTTTGAGTTAAGTAGCTATTAACAAAAAACAAATCATTTTAAACATGGTGAATTAAAAAATCTCTTCTCTCTCTTCAGTTAGGCTGCACTTCCTTTGTGTAACTGATGTTGAATACTTATTTCTTTCCACTTGTCCATGTAGTTTTCTGTGGTAAAACTGAATGTATAATGCAAAAAACAAGCAAGGAAAAAAATCCTTGTAACTTATCTGTGTCTTAAAAAACCTTTCAGGCCTGTATACACCAGGAAGAAGCAGAAACAAAGCACAACCCCTTTGTCCTTTTCTTTGCAAGTCACTTTGAATTTGAAGAACTGGCAGGATGCTGACCCAATGCCTGTTATCCTTCATTTGTGTTTTAATGTCTCTATACCAGAGGCAAAGGCATCCTGTTGCCCAGCTGAGCAGAACCACTCACATGGCACTCTTGGGTATATTTGCAAGCAATTTTTATGCAGGAATTGGAACAGATGCCAGTCAGGGCTTGAGAAGCTTAGGGAGTGAGCTCTGCTAAGCCAGTTCCACAAGGAATCAGCCTGCTCACGCAAGCCATTTAAAATAAAGTCTCTACTGCTGGATGCCAAGCCACAGAGAGGTGGTGAGAAATGGCCAAGGAAATTGCTAACTCATGAAAATGCACCTTCTTCCATTCTCTGTACCCAATTCAGCCAGTATTTCCATCCTGCCTTTAGGACACTGAAATGTCCTGTTCCCCCTCCCCTGAGAGTTACTTTGACCCAACGTCCACCACACCAATATGTTGCTAAAGCTCAGAGTCCTCAGGGCGAGATGCAAAGCCCACTGAAAGCAGCATGAGTCCTGCCGTTGATATCAGTGAGCAGTGTTGTCTAGCTTTGCCAATTCCAGCTGTGAAGGTTTCTCTGCAGAATAAGGGCTACTGTTGAGAAGCTGGCCATTTAACAGGCCCAATTCTTTCCCCAGTGCGGTTGTGGGAGCTGTTCTATAGTCTCCAAAGCACAATTCTTTTTTATTATGAAGTGTTGAAAATGGTTGAAAATTCTAAAAGAGTGATTGCCCATCTTTTTTTTTTTTTTTTTTTTTAAGGGTTTTGATTTTATTTTTAAAGGGATGTATCATGACTCATCTTCCTCCACAAACTGCTCACCGATGGTCTCTCTCCAGGTAGACGTGAAATACTGTGCTGTTCAACATACTCATAAATGATCTGGAAAGGGGGTGGTGAACAGTGAGATGGCAAAATTTGCAGACAATAGAAAGTTATTCAAGATAGAACTGATTGCAAGGCGTTACAAAGGGATCTCACTCAACTGGGTGATTGGGCAACAAAATGTCAGATGAAGTTCAAGGTTGATAAGTGCATAATGCACATTTGGAAAACAATCTCAACTATACATACAAAACAATGGTGTCTAAATTAACTGTTGCTGTTCAAGAAAAATCTTGGAGACATCGTGGATAGTTCTCTGAAAACATCTGCTCAATGTGCAGTGGTAATCAAAAAAGCGAACAGAATGTTAGGAACAATTAGGAAAGTGATGGATAATATTGTCACCATATAAATCCATGGTATACCTATACCTTGAATACTGCATGCAGTTCTGGTCACCCAATCTTAAAAAAAATATATTAGAATTGGAAGAGGTACAGCGAAGGGCAACAAAAGTGATTATTGGTATGTAACAGCTTCCTTATGAGGTGAGATTAAAAAACAACTGGGACAGGTCAGCTTGGAAAAGGGATGAGTAAGGGGGGATATGATAGAAGTCTATGAAATGATGTCTAGTGCAGAGAAAATGAATATGGAAGTGTTATTTGCCCCTTCACAAAACCCACAAACCAGGGGTCACCCAATAAAATTAATAGGCAGCAGGTTTAAAACAAACAAAAGGAAGTACCGCTTCACCCAATGCACAGTCAACCTGTGGAACTCATTGCCATGGGATGTTGTCTAGGCCAAAACTATAACTGGGTTCAAAAAAGAATGAGATAAGTTCATGGGGGAACGGTCCATCAAAGGCTATTGGACAAGATGGTCAAGGACGCAACTCCAACTCTGGGTGTCCTTAAGTCTCTGCTTGCCAGAAGCTGGGACTGGATTTCAGGGGATGGATCACTGGATAATTGCCCTCTTCTGCTCATCCCCCCTGAAGCATCTGGCACTGGTCACTGTCAGACAGAATACTGGGCTAGATGGACCATAGGAATAGCAATGATGGGACAGACCAATGTTCTTACTTGCCTTAAAAACAAAGATCGGAATTACATCACTATGTGTAGCAAGGGTCCTGCTGGGTACATGTGTCAGGTGAATAAGGCAGAAAAATGGTTGCCAAATTTCTTTGTATGAGTCCATGTCTTGTTACATGAGGGCCATAAGACTCTGTGTCGTAGCTCCTTCAAAGATCGAATCACCATCCTTTTTATATAGACCTTGTTTTGAGCCACAGAAGGTAGGATATTCAATAGATAGAGGAAGATCTGTCCTTTTAATCAGATTTGGTCAAAAAACAATTCCAAATTTTGCAAAAATCATTGAAAAATGTTATTGAAATTTTGAAAAAAAAACAATAGAAAGAACATTGAACAATCTGTAACTGGTTGAAAAAACCCAATAGATGGATTTTTGTTGAAAACTTCAATTTTCAATAGTTTCAACCATGTACTTCTTATACAGGTGGTCACTTTGAGAAGAAAAGTTGGGTCTGACCCTGTTTTCACACGATGTGAATCAGGAATAACTCCATTAAAGGCAATGGGGTTTCCACTTTTACATCAGTGTGTTAATGATATCAGAATCAGAATTTATAGGCCAGGTCCTCAGCTGGTATAAATCAGTGTAATTCTATTGTTTTGCACGTGAGCTATGCAGATATACAATAGGTGAGGATCTGGCCCCTTATATTTAACTTTTTGTCCTTCACTCAACTACTACCTGAGTTATAGGAGACACTTTTGGAACATTTGTAGGAACTGGAATTTTTTTCTTTGGCAGCACAGAGGAGTTGAGGACAAATATGAACCCTCCTGTGGTCTCTAAAGTATGTCTCATGTTCTTTGTTTTTGCAGAAAGGAAACTGGACTTAAATTCAGTGGATCTGTCCAAGATGAGAGTGGCTGAGCTGAGGAAGATCCTGGATAACTGGGGAGAAGTGTGCAGAGCATGTATAGAGAAAACAGACTTTGTGAACTTGATTAAGGAGCTGGCACCTAAGTATACACTTACAAACCCCAAATCAGACCTTTGATTGATACTTGTGCCAGCCCAGTGCTTGCTATGGTAGGTCACCTTTCTGTGCACAAAGAATGACTGACAATGGAATAGCTGAGCTAAAAACTTATCATTTGGTTACAACTCACAAGTGCCAAAAAACAGAGTTATTATTAATAATTGCTTATCTAGCACCATGGAAGGGCATAGTACTTTACAGACAAGACAAGGTCACTGCACCAAGGAACATAATATATAAGAATCAAATTGTATTTGTATTGCAATAGCAAATAGAGTCCTCAGCCCCATTGTGCTAGGACTGTACACACACATAACAAAAAAATGATCCGTGCCCCAGAGATCTTATGCTCTAAAGTAGAAGAGGAGAGACCAACCTGCTCCCCCAAACAAACCCAAAACAGACCTTTAGCTAAACCAGTGTAATGTTGTGTGTAGACAATATTAGGGCTTGTACTGCTTTGATCATATTGGTTTAAAAACCATTACATATTATTAACAAAATACTATTATTTTCCATGACATCATATATACCATTATAAGCAATTTGATAATAGTATAACTGCATCCACAGTAGAGGGTTGCATCAGTTCAGCTACATCTGTTTCTAAACCAATGTGTTTAAATCAATACACAAGCTGTGTGGAGACCAGCTCTTCTGTCTATTCAAACTTGGCTTATATTGGTATAGCTTGTAATGTGTAGGCACAACTTGTACATAAATAAGCCATGTTTAAACCAATGCAATAAGTCTCCATGCAGAGGCTTGCACCAGTTGAATTCAATTGGTGAAATTTCTGTAGAAAATCTTCTTTGCAGCCTCTGCCTCATTCATTACACACCTTTTAACTCCCGCAGGGAATGAGGCAGGGGCCTTACAACCAGCATTCTGTAGTGAATGAGGCTGTTATCTCATCCACTGTCCCTCGTGTGCATTTCCAGTCCTAGGTCGACACCTTGATATATTCAGGGAAAAGCAATATTTTTATTTAAGCAGTTTGGAAACAGAAATTAGAGGCGGAAAAGACCTATTTGATTATTTAGTATATTCCTGCCAGTTGAGGTACTCCAGCAGGTCCGCAAGCCCTGCTGATCAACTCCTCACCCTCCCTCCCATAACTCCTCCCCGGCCAGTGCCTCCTGCATGCCACAGAACAGCTGTTCCCCTGTGTGCAGGAGGCGCTGGGAGGGAGGGGAAGGAGCAGAGATGGAGCATGCTCACGGGGGCATGGAAAGAGGCGGGGAAGAGGAGGGGCAGGGGTGCAGTGGGGGCAGGAAGATGTGGGGCCTTGGAGGAAGGGCTGGAGTGGGGGCAGGGCCTGGGGCTGAGTTAGGAGTGTTGGGGGTCTGGGAAAAATTGTAAATCAAAATGGGGGTTCTCGGGTTGCTAAAGTTTGAACATTTTAGAAACTTGCAAACAAACCAATCTACCTTTTTGGTCCATTCTAGTTCGGTTCCTTCCTAGGTATTGACACCCTTCAAGTATTTGCAGCTGGCTAGCATATCCAACTTACTTGCTGTTTGGCCACAACAAGCATAATTTTGCTCTTTTAAGATGGGGTTTTCAAAGGATTTCAATGGAATTTTGGCCCCTAACTCCCTTAGAGTCTTTTGAGAATTCCTCAGTTTCTTCATTCTCTCACATATTTTATTTGGCCTTCTTTGAATTCCCTGAAGTTAGTGAGTTGTACCACTAATGTTGACAGAGAGTGCCACTAAATCAAGAAGTTTTGTCCAAGTTTGTTTGAAGTCATTACTTTACATGTATGCACATAGGCCCCAGACCAGCCAGGCACTTAAGGCTCAATTTTAAGCATGTGAATAGTCCCATTGAAATCAATGGGACTATTCACATGCTAAAAGTGAAGTAGGTCTTAATTGTTCTTCTGGATTGGGGCTAACTGATTATGATTACCAGGTTCCAACTGATTTTGAAATATTAAAGTGACCTAATACTCAAACATTTACATTTCAGAAAAGAAGGTTTTGTGTACACTGGAGAAAGCTATTTCAGTGCTTATCTTTAGAAGTGTTTGAAATATGGAAGATAAAGGTTACTATGACTTCACTGCCAGATATTTTCATCTTGATTGCATAAATCCCTGCATTTAATTGAAATCCAGTGGTGATTTGCACGATTAATGTTTTATGTTTGCAAAAAATATTTAAGCCCAGATCCTCAAAAGGTATTTAGGCATTATGTGCCTTTGAAGAGCCAGGAATTAGTGGGCCCACATCCTAAATTATGTGGGCCAAAATTCTATTCTTTGATACAGAGACAACTCCCACTGAATTGAAAAGGCATTGCAACTTTGTTTCTTAGAGAACAGGCTTCATGACTGTCTCCTTTACATGGGTATAAATCAAAAGTAAATCCACTGAAGTCAGTGGAGTTACTCCAGTGTAAACTGCTGTGAGAGAAGAATCAAGCCTGAGATGTCTGCTGTGTGTGTAGTAGGAAAGAACCAGGCTTGTACACTAGTAATGAACAGATCTCAAAAGGGTTTGAGGTACAATTCAGATATGCATCCAACTGTAGAGGTGTGAAATAGCCAGCCATCTGTGATCTGGTATCCTTGCAATATGTGGTTTCTCATAAATGTTATAGAATTTCCTGCTGCAGAATTACCCTTTCACGGGTTATTTGTGTACTTCTGCTTCTCGCTGAAGGAAGGAACTGCAGTGGTGTGTGAAAACTGGATTAAAGAGAATTAAGTAGAATCTTTTTTGAGTCTCAGAAATGGTTCAAGTGCAGTTTGACTTACCGGTAAAAAATCAGATTGGTCCTTATTACAACAAACCAGTTGTCTATTTTTATTAGAAACCAGCTGGCTGAATCTTAGCTTGCCTATGCACTAAATTAATGTCCGTCCAGTTTTTGTATGAAAAAAGACAGAATGTAACGTCTGCTTCAAAGAAACATTTTGATCTCATTTAAAGTAGTTCAATTCCACACACTTCAGTAGAGTTACATTGTTGTAAACAGTAGCGAAACCAGGTCCTTAGACCAAATTCTTTGCTTATGTAACTCCATCGACTTCACCAGTGGAGAATTTGGCCCTTGGTTTCCAGTAACTAACTTGTGTTTTAATATTTTAAGACTGATTAATTCCCTCCCCCCCCGCCCACACACAAGTTAGTATCACCTAATGCTGTATGATCCTTTCATATCTCACAAGCTAAACTTGTCCAGGTGTGGCTGGCTCTTGAAAACCTAGGAATTGATACTGGTGAGCCAGTAGGTGGCATTGTTCCTTCAAAGTCAGTAATGAACTAATGCCCGGGAATGGTGTTAATGTCACTGTTCTGGTGGAGGTACTGTCTTCTGCAAGAAACAAATCTGAGATTCTGACCTCTCATGGACGTTTAAGATCTTCAAGCATTTTTTAATCAAAACATCAGTGGTTAACCCCGAGTTCCTAGACAAACTCCAACTTGCTTAATAACATTCTGCCAACCTGCATGTCCCTCCCAGTTTGATCTGAATAAGATATTCTGCATTTCCTACCCAAAACTACAGTCTAGTTTTGCTGCATGGTGTTAAATTGTGCAACATTTTGTCTCAGATGCATTTCAGTAGCACATGAAATTATCCACGCATGAGTGTAAACTTTGTGAAATGCCACAGGTTGCTTTGTAGCAATATACACCTATATTTACTATTGTGTAAATATAATGCAGAGAGACAGTTAAGGAAGGGTTGGATAAACGGGTTTCACTTTCTATTCAAGAATTTGTTTTTTTAACTCAGTCATGACTACATTTTCATATGAAACTACCATGGAGCCAAGGGAACACCTATGGCCAGATTTTCACCATCTCTATGTCAGGTGATGTCAATGGAGCTATGCCAGTGTGCACCAGCTGAGAATCTGGCTCATAGCTTGACTGATATTTATCATCAGAATAATACATGGGTGGATACTCATGGACATTTTAGCAATAGTTTTTAAACCAGGGTAGAGGGAAACATTACTGACAACATATGGGAACAGTGCAATTTGTTGGATACCAAGGGTGGCTGCCATACCCTGTCAGCCAATAGAGGAATAGCTGCTATTAGCATACTCCAGCTTGGAATTGTGTGGCTCTAAAAACAACTGCATTTGTTGATGCCAACTATTTTTTCCTCCATGCTGCTGAGGATGCCACTCCCCATACTCTGGCAGAAGAGGTACTGTGTCTCCCCGGGTCCTGTGACAAGAACAGAAAGCCCTTTGTTCACCTATAGTAGAGCTGGTGGTGAAGAAGGAAGTGTGAAACACTAGCTACTGTTACTGGCAACTGAGCCATAAAGGATGATTCTGCCAAGAGGACACAAGCTTGTTCAGTCTCCTGTATTGGGCTACTGTAAGCTGAAGATGGAGAGGCTGGTACCAGCAGAGACATCTCTGCTGTATGCGTGACTGTGCTTATCTGAGCCAATAATTCCTGTAAAGTTAGGGCTTTGTTATCATACTGATTCAGAGATACAAGTTGGTCTCAGAAATAATAATGATACTTGGCCTCTTGTACCTTCCATCAAAGGATCTCAAACATTATAAATTACTGCCAGTTTCACAACAACTCTATGAAGTAGGTTGATATAGAATCATAGAACTGTAGGGCTGGAAGGGACCTCAAGAGGTCATCAAGTCCTGTACTGAGGCAGGAGCAAATAAACCTAGACCATCCCTGACAGGTGTTTGTCCAACTTGTTCTTAAAAGCCTCCAATAACAGGGATTCCACAAACTCCCTTGGAAGCCTATTACACAGTATAACAGTCCTTATAGTCAGAAAGGTTTCAGAGTAGCAGCCGTGTGAGTCTGTATTCGCAAAAAGAAAAGGAGTACTTGTGGCACCTTAGAGACTAACCAATTTATTTGAGCATAAGCTTTCGTAAGCTACAGCTCACTTCATTGGATGCATTTTTTTTTCCCACTGAATGTATCCGATGAAGTGAGCTGTAGCTCACGAAAGCTTATGCTCGAATAAAGTTGTTAGTCTCTAAGGTGCCACAAGTACTCCTTTTCTTTTTATAGTCAGAAAGTTTTCCCTAATATCTGACCTAAATTTCCCTTTCTACAGATTAAGCCCATTACTTCTTGTTCTACCTTCAGTGGACACGGAGAACACTTGATCGCCGTCCTCATTACAACAGCCCTTAACACATTTGAAGACCATTATCAGGTCCCCTCTCAGTCTTCTTTTCTCAAGACTAAAGGTGCCCAGTTTTTTAAACCTTTCCTCATAGGTAACGTTTCCTAAATCTTTTATCATTTTTGTTGCTGTTCTATGGAATCTCTGCAATTTGTCCACATCTTTCCTGATGTGTAGAACCCAGAACTGGACACAGTACTCCAGCTGAAGCCTCACCAGTGTCAAGTAAAGCAGAAAAATTACCTCCTATGTCTTACAGACAACACCTCACAATGACATTAGCTTTTTTTGCAACTGCGTCACTTTGTTGACTCATTCAGTTTGTGATCCACTACTGCCACATCCTTTTCAGTGGTACTACCCCAGTTATTCTCCATTTTGTAGTTGTGCATTTGATCTTTCCTTCCTAAGTGTAGTACTTTGCAATTCTCTTTATTGAATTTCATCTTGTTGAATTCAGACCAATTCTCCAATTTGCCAAGAATTCTAATCCTGTCCTCCAGAGTCCTTGCAACTTTTTCTAGTGTGGTGTTACCTGAAAATTTAATCATCATACTCTACTCCATTATCCAAGTCATTAATGAAAATATTGACTTGTACTGGACACAGAAAGAGTAGGGGACCGCTATGGGAGCTTACTAGATACGCCTTCCCAGTTTGACAGCAAACCACCGATAACTACTCTGAGTATTGTCTGTCAACCAGTTGTGTGTCCACCTTCATAGTAATTTCAGCTAGACCACATTTCCCTGGTTTACTTATGAGAACTTCAAGAAGGGCTGCATCAAATGCCTTACTAAATATCAAGGTATATCACAGCTACAGCATCCCCCCTAGCCACTAGGCCAGTAATCATGTCAAAGAAGGAAATTAAGTTGGTTTGGCATGACTGGTTCTTGACAAATCCATGGCTGGCTATTCTTTATATCCCTATTATCCTCTAAGTGCTTATAGATATCCCTGTTTTAATAATATGCCAGTTTTACAGATGGGGAGGCACACAACCTAGGATTGGATTAAGGTAGCCCAAGGCTCCAGGCACTCACCCCTCTCAGTAGGCTCTCTCATCATAGTCTGTCTCAGAGCATGCGTTGGTGG